ATTCCTCTATATTTTAATTTGCATAACCTGAATCACTTGGAGGCATCCCTACTCTTCTAATGGAACTCTTCAGTGAAAGTCCCTATGGAAATGCTTGGATTAGAAATATGGGGCATGCATTCTACATAGAGGGATACTCTCTCAGCCTAGACATGGGCTTCGGGGGTGGGGGGGAGGCTAGGCCCTGCTCCAAATGATATGACAGACTTTGAAGATCCCCCGTGAAAGGCCTCACCCTCCCGGGGGAGCAGAGGAGGGATGGGATAGGGGGTTATTGGGGGCAGGGGAGGGAGAGGGAACTGGGAACATGTAAAACAAACTTTTTTCTAATTTAAATAAAAATAGAAAAAAAAGAAATATTGGGCATGGAACCACCTCTCTTACCTGTGACCGCAATCACCAGGCTATCACTCAGTTCTGATGATCCATAAAGAGATTTAGAGTCAAATCCCTGGCATCTGTAGATCCCTGCATGTTCTGTGGTCACAGGGCCTATCACAAAGCTCTGCTGGGAGTTGAAGTCCTTTGTCTGGAGGCTGCGACCCCTGTGTTCTTTGAACAGTCTGTACGTTTCAAACCCAAGCTCAGACTGACAGTACAGAGTCACACGCTCTCCGATGGGAACGATGGGGCTTGGCCAGGCAGACAGGAGGGGCTTTTTAGACTCCACTGTAGGGAAAAGGAGATGCAGATTTAAAGAAGAAAATAGAGAAGCCCCTCTCCATATGTGTTCAGCATCCCTTCTCCTTTCCATGTTCTTCCAGGCCAGTAGTGCCCAGCACCATGCATTGGGACCACCCACCACACAAGCAAGCCTTCCTATAACAAAAGTGTGGTCTGAGAATTTTGGACAAATACTTCATAAAGAAACCAATACTATTGACAAAAATTATCATGTATATATAAAAATAAGATGCAGAACAAGTCCCTAGTTGAGAACCCAATACTGTCATTCTGCTAAGTGGACGTAGTGTTAAAACGACTACTACTGACTTACTGGTGTACTCAGTAGATCACAGCCTCTCTCAGCTCCCTTCAGAGAAGCCTTTCATTGCTGTAGATGGCAATGAACACAAGGACCAACCCCGGAGAAAACCCGTCAACAAGTCAAGAACCAAAGACTACAGAGTTCTGAGTCCCAAATCAGACATTTATATCTCACTCTGAGACTCAGGGATCTTTGTGAAATAAATAGGGGACGGGATGATTGTAGGAGCTGTAGATGGCGGGTAACTTCAAGATGGCAGATGTACATGTGAAATCAAAGAGGTTGTGACAGCATGCATAAAACCTGGGCACACTTCAGTCATAGAGATTCCTGGTACGAGCAGGGAAAGCCAGACATGAAATGCCAATACTAGCTGAGGAGATACTAGCACTAGCCTTTGATGGTTCCTCAGAGAGGAAGAGTCCATTTTCTTTTAATGATATGATGTCTGGTAGTATGACCAGCCCTAAGTCTAGCCCAAACTAGAATTGATGGAGAAAGAAAAAAGAACTAAACTCAGAGTTGGGTGGGAAAGTATTGGAGGGGTAAGAAAGGGGTAAAAGATAGTATTAAAAGGAGTGAATATTTTCAAAATATTTCAAAGAAGTAGTAAAAATTTTTAAGTCAGGATCTCTCTGATAGCCCTGGATGTCCTGAAACTATGTAGACCAAGATAGCCTCAAACTCACAGAGATCTGCCTGTCTCTGACCCTCAAGTCCAGGAACAAAGACATATACCACCACACACCTGGCTTATAAAAAATATTAAAAAAAAAAGACAGAGCAGACATCAGGTTCCATATGGATAAAATGATGTTGGCAAATATGAGAAAAGCATTAAGCTCTGCTTCCTTCCTTACTACGCAGTCAAGCCTACTCCAAAAAGACATCTTGCTTTCTTCCACTCTCCTCGATTTACCCGTACAACTTAGCTTAGTGAGTGGCAAAATTGTAGGGTGTGTGGGAGCTATCACAGGCAGGATCTCCAGGGACCCCACTTTACAATTCAACAGAGATTCACTCACAGGGTTTCCCCACACTCAACCCATGAGCTGTGTGCCTCCTGCCCTCCTGTTATGGGGACATTCTATTTGGTTTGGCAGACTCACCAACTTGCGCCCATATTCCTGGAACCCAGACGAACCCTGCAAAGAAAGACTCATGATAGTTGATCCATGTTCTCATGATGCCTGATTTCCATTCCTATGGCCTCTGCCAGGTCTGTAAGCCTCTGAAGCCATACAATGTTATATAAAGATCAACCAACCCTCCAATGCCCATCCACCTGGGTATTCTTCTCTATACATGCTCAATATCCTAGACTAATATTTCCACCCTGGTGTTCCATACCCTTCATGCCCATAAGGACTCACCAGAACACACAGCACTGAGGAAGATGAGCACCATAGTTCTGCTTGAGCTGACAGGAGGCACTGCACCAGAAGAAGCACACAGGATGTCCTGAGCTGAACAGCTTATCTAGCTTATCAGCTGACGACAGTATTAAGGTTCTGATGCCAATGGGCTTCTAGTAGTCTTCTCAGTAGTCTTGCAGGCTACTGAGACAGGAAGACGGTTTGTACCACAGCTCGTTCACTGCAGAATTTACCATGGCAGTAACTGGAACACATTTTCGACCTAATGCCTTTTCTGAATGATTCAATAGAATAATTGCATTGCAATTTTGATGGGGCAGGTCATTCTGTGTATCTTATTGGTTGGGGAATAAAGTACTGTTGGCCGATAGGGAAGCAAGTGAGGCGGGGCTAGGAGTCAAGGAGGATTCTGGGAAATGTAGTAAAGAGAAGTCTTGTGATCCAGGCAGGACGTGACATAGCAGGCATACTCAGAATATAAGCAGGGACAAGCAGGAAATCACTCTCTTCCTCCTCCTCTCTTCTCTGTGGAGTCACCATGTAATCTGCATATATGCTGTGGCTGTGTAGCTTGGTCTTCTTGTGGGATTCCTAACAGTAAGAGTAGAGGGGAAGGGATTTCCCTGACTCTTTTACCTATTCAGGGGACTCTTTGCCTCCTACTGGATTACCTCATCCAGCCTTAATTGCGACTTTATATCCCATGTTTGGTTAACATCCCTGGAAGTCTTGCCCTTTTCTAAAAAGAAACAGAGGAGGGCTGGATGGGGGAAATAGGAGGTGGGGGGAGGGACTGAGAGAGGAGAAGAGAGAGGAAACTGTGGTTAATATGTAATAAGAAGAATAAATACATAAAGAAATGGATGGTTTTTACACAGTATATATAATTCCAGTTTCCCCTGCCAATAGTCCTCCAAGTTCTCCCCTAAACTTCCCTCCCATTCTGTATCTCATTAGAAAACAAACAGACATAGCCACACACACACCAGAACCATTCCAACCTGAGTGGCCATTCCTTCCACCCAGAGCCAGGATGTCATCTGGGCCCATTGATATCTGTGACCTGTGTCACCTCAAGAGGCCTTGGGAACTATGTGAGATCAAGTTGCCCTAAGACTAAGCACCTCTCCTTGTATTTAGGCTGGGGAAGGCACTCCAGGATAGGAATAGGTTCCTGAAAGCCAGTTAAAGCATTGGGGATAGCCCCTATTCCCAATGTTAGAAATCCCACAAATAGACCAAGCTACACAACAATTGCATATATGTGGAGGGATTAGGTTGGTCCCATGCAGGCTCCCTTGCTGTTGGTTCAGATTCTGTGAGTTCCTATGAATCTGGTTAATTGTTTCTCTGTATTTTCATGTGATGGACTGGACTCCTTTGGTTCCTACAATTCTTCCTCCCTCTTTTCAGCTGGATTCCCCGAGCTTGGTCTAACGTTTAGCCGCAGGTCTCTGCATCTGTTTCCATCAGTTTCTAAATTAGACTTTCTGATAACAATTAGGGTCGTCGTGAATCTGATCACACGGGATGGTCAATTCAGGCTACATATCCACTATTGCTAGTGGTCTTAGCTGGAGGCATCCCTGAAGATTGCTTGGAATATGCCTTGCATCTGGTTATTTTAGCTAACAACCAAAAGACCCCCATTTCTAGTCATCTCTTTCAATACTCCTCCCCTCTACCCCCCTCAATCTGATACTCAAGTTGACATCCCTCCTGCCCCCAATCCACCCAAGAGATATCTTCTGTTTCCTCTTTCCAGGGAGATCCATGCATCCCCCCTTGGGTCCTCCTTGTTACCCAGCCTCTCTGTGTCTAAGGATTGCCTCACTGCAACCTTTCACAGCCAGTATCCACTTATGGGTGAGTGCATAAAATGTTGGTCTTTCTGCATCAAGGTTGCCTCACTCAAGATTTTTTTTTTATAGTTCTATCCAGTTGCCTTCAAATTTCCTAGTGTCAGCCTATAATCCACAACCCCGGAGAAGCTAGGAAACAAGGAGGACTCCAAGAGAGACATACATGGTCCCCTGGAGAAGGGGAAAGGGACAAGATCTCCTGAGTAAATTTGGAGCATGGAGGAGGGGGGGAAAGTAGTAGAAAGAGGAGTTGAGAAGGGGTGGGCGAAGGAGAGCATGAGGGATCAGGAAGGTTGAGTTGGGGGAAGAACAGAGGAGGAGAGCAATGAAAGTGATACCTTGATAGGGTGAGCCGTTATGGGCTTACGAGAAACCTGGCGTTTGGAAAATCTCCAGGAATACACAAGGATGACCCCAGCTAAGAATCTAAGCAATAGTGGAGAGGCTACCTTAAAAGTCTTTCCCCTGTGATGAGATTGATGACTACCTTAACGGCCATCCTAGAGCCTTCATCCAGTAGCTGATGGAAGCAGAAGCAGAGACACACAGCTAAGCACTGGGTCAAACTCCTGGAATCCAGGTGTAGAGAGGGAGGAGTGATGAGCAAAGGGGTCAAGACCATGCTGGGAAAACCCACAGAAACAGCTGACTGAGCAAGTGTGAGTTCATGGAACTCATCTAGACTGACACCTGGGGAACCTGCATAAGAATGAACCTTTCAGGCCTCCTGAAAGTGGGTGTCAGTTGGGGGCTTGGGCAGTCTATGGGGCCTCTAGCAGTGAAACCAGTATTTATCCCTAGTGCAGGAATTGGTATCAGTCTAGATACAGGAGGGGGAGAGCCTCAGTCCTGCCCAAAATGAGGTGACAGATTTGATGATTCCCCTTGGGAGGCCTCTCCCTCTCTGAGGACTGGATGGGGGATGGGATGGGGAAATGGTGGGAGGATGGGAGGGAGAGGGAACTGGGATTTATATGCGTCAGGGTCCAGAAATTATTCTATTAGAAAGTTTCTCGGGGTCCAAACCTCCCGTTCTATTATTCAGAAGCCTGAGTCTCCATTGTCTTGCAGATGCTAGCTAAAATTGCCACTGAATGGCATAGCCTTAGTGGAGAATGTCTCCTGTTTGCATTTCTACAGGCCTAAGCCTTGAATAGGCCTGCACCTGGGCTGAGAACTGGGTCTATGTGGCTAGAGACTGTTTTTAGGTATGCCGATAGGGTCAAAAGAGAGGTTAATAAGAAAGGGTCTCTGCAGTCACGGGCAGACGGTTAGAAAGCTGTTTATGAGGATGCTACAGTAAACGGGAGACTCCAGTTTTCAGCATGAACTGAGAGTCCTCCAAAAATGACAAGATGCCTGTGTCTGGTCTTTATCGCCATTGGGTAGCTAGGAATTTCCAAATCCATGCTCCCTCACTCAGGGATGGACACGTGGCTAATAGAGCAAGGACTGATACAAGCCAGGCCCCAGCATATGTGTAAAATAAGACTGTTTTTAATTTAAATTTAAAAGTTAATTTAAAAAATAAACAAATCTCCTGGTGTCGTTGTTTTTAATAGCTGAGTAATACTCCATTTTGTAAATGTACCACATTTTCTTTATCCATTCTTGAGTTGGGGTGCATCTAGATTGTTTCCAGATTCTGGCTATTATGAATAATGCTTCGATGAACATAGTTGAGCAAGTGTCCTTGTGGTATGATTGAGCATCCTTTGGATAGATGCCCAAGAGTGATATAGCTGTGTCTTGAAGTAGATTGATTCCCAATTTTCTGAGAAAGTGTCATATTGCTTTCCAAAGTGGTTGTACAGTTTCGCTCCCACCTGCGATGGAGGAGTCAAGCAGACGTATTTTTAAAAAGTAAAATATATATTACATGAAACTGACTTTTTTTTAAGGACCAACATAAGCGAGAAGTAAATGGATGGAAAAAGGCAAGAAAGATCCAGGAAGGAAGTACAGGGAGGCACTCTATTGTGAAATTAAGCAAATCCTCAAGACAAATGTCTGACTCTAAATAGAGAATTCGATATGTCATCAGCACTCCCTGGTGAGAACTGGAGAATATTCTCTTGAAGCAGAGTTTCGATCCATGGAGCTAATAGGCCAGTTTGAGCCGTTGGACACCAAGATGAAATTCATCCCACTTGGTTGTGTTCCCTTGTAGTTCTGGAGCTGTCTGTAGACTTTTGCTGGTTGTGCCAAGCTTCTCCAATGATTGCCCCCAGCAAGACTACCCCAGACAGGGCCATGTGGACAGCATTCCACACCTTGTAACTCTGGAGGGTGGGGACTGAGAAGGGAAAGACAAGCATGAGTGGCCTTTCTCTGGTGGACAGACCCAAGCCTAGGAATCCTGAAACAGGAGTTATTTATACACTTTGGGGTGAGAAGCCATCATCATAGATGTCACTTACCTGTGGGGGAGCTGATTATAAGAAAAAGCAGTCAGTTTCACGGGGTCTACCAGGTCTCAGAAGAAAGTGATAAAAAGTGTGAAGTTACCTTCTCCTTCCCTTTGGGCTGACCTTGGCATCCTGAAGCCTTTGCCTGACTTTCCCACCACCCATCATGCCCCTGTACTTCTCACCTTGGTTCTCATTGTCCTCATCCCAGCACCCTTAGATCGCTGGGTGCACACCCAGGCTCTCACACAATGAGAAAATGGGTCCCAGGGAAAGATCCAGCCAGAAAATTTACACATAGATCAGACTCAACTCGAAGTTGCTAGGCAAAGTTAACCCCTTTGTGTGCCTGAAATGTCCCAAGTGTAAGCTGGGCGTTGGTGGCACACGCCTTTAATCCCAGCACTCGGGAGGCAGAGGCAAGCGGATCGCTGAGTTCGAGACCAGCCTGGTCTACAAGAGCTAGATCCAGGACAGCCTCCAAAGCCACAGAGAAACCCTGTCTTGAAAAAAAACAAACAAACAAAAACAGCAACAACAACAAAAATGTCTCAAGTGTAAACTGAGGATAAACTTCCCTGATGCTTTACAAAAACACAGTGGGACTGCAGAGCCTGGTGAAAACTAATCAGTAAAGGTGGAAGCTGCAATGTTATTGGATGGCCATTGCCATTCCCTGACCTGGACTGGATATAGAGGAAGAGCTTGGAAATGTCAGGGTCCGTGGTGTCTGTGCTATGTTCACCCAGCTCTTTGTCTCTTTGCTCACCACAGGGGTTCCATTCTCCATCTCATGTCTGAAGTCTTGGTTGTTATCATCAGTATGGAAGACATTAGGAAGACTGCCTTTCCTCCCTGAGACAAGAAGGATGAGTCTTTTTAGCCTCTCCCTTGGTATATCCCCTCCATCCCTACACTGTGTCAAGTGCTGAGTGTATAGTGGGAAGGAACAGGATCCTAAGGTCTGGGTGGGTCTCATAGGGGATCCCAGACACACTGTGTCCCTTTGCACTGACTTTCTGTACTGGTAATGGTCAGCACTGCAGGAGGCATGTCAGAAACAGTAGTCATACGGAGAGTAGTGGGGTGAGAATTTGAACCCAACACGACTCTTCTTTTTCTCCCTATCCTCAACCGCCTTTTCCTTCCATCCTTTCTCCCCTTAAACTAAATCTCAATGGTATTAATAATGGACTAAATAAAATATTTATTTAGCCATTCTCAAAAATAATGTTAGAGGGATAAAGTAAGATTCAGATCTACCCAGATGAGAGCGTAAGAAGATCCAGAGTGGACACCCCCAAACTTATCACACCACAAGGAGGCAGAGGTGGTAATGAGAGTCTGTGAATCCGGGGTGTGATGGGGGTCCGCCTGGCCTCTCCCTTGTCTCGAGACATTTTCCTACTCTGAGGCAGGATCCTCTAAATAGTCTGTGATGTTGATATCTGCTTCCCTGATGAGTACATACATTTATTTATAACTTCATGGTCTTAATGGGGGTGATCATGTTTTAAAGTCTTGCTTATTTATCTGCTAGGAATAAATACAGATACACAAACACATAAATACAAAAAGCCAGGCTTAGTAAAGAGGAAAAATCATAGCAGAAAGTCAAGTTCTTCCTATTGCTACCTACAATGGTCGATCTGCTCCCATCTGTGCCCTTTCTGTGTACTTTTTAATGACCCATCTAGAACCAATAAATGGAAAGACTTTTAGCATATGGATGACAAACTTTCTCTTCCCATTTGGCAACACTTCCACAACCTAACCATCCCTTTTCTAAGGACACCCATGGATGAGGGAGCCTTCTTAGATAGACACGGAGTCAGGAAGCTCTGGATGGTGCCCTTACCTAGAGATCCACTGTCTAACAGGGATATTAGGGTCATGTCAGTGCTCCTAGACAAACTGGACGGAGACCAAAAGGCCTGGGTAGTAGGGTCAGCCCTAAACACACAGGACATCTGAGGCACAGCAGTGGAGGAAAACTGGTGAAAATATTTTTAAGCCAAGAATAACTCTATCTCTTCCTGATGGGCCAGACTTTTGGAGATGACCACATATGGGGAAAGGACCATCTCACTCTTAAGATTCATAGTATTATCCAACTCTGCTCAGGGGCCATCCCTGGACCATGTGACATGCTCAGTGGGAAGAGACCACACAGAAAAGCACATATTTCTGGGCCTTCTACAGGCTCTGGTTCAATGGGGGGAAAAAGATAGCATCATGCAGTGAAGAGTAAAGTATTCCACTGAGGAGAGTCAGTGCCCCCTAGCACGTCTGAATCCCAGTCGCTAACCAGCTAGAAAAGATAGTTGTACACTAAATCCAGGATAGAACTGACAATCAAGATGATGAGTAAAGCTAGAGCTTGAGAGACGTGGGAACAAACCTGAGGTCACTTCTGATATCGGAGAAGAGGTCTCGGTGATGTCCTCACGAATGACCTTCAGTTGCAGGGTCTCACTTCGTGGGGACCAGGTGTTCTTTACCTTATAGAGACAGCTATAGTGTCCAGCAGTGTCTTTCCTCACTGTACCAAGGTAGAACCTGGCTTCAGTCTTAGAAGAAGAGGAGTTTATCACATCTACGATTCTGAGATTTTCCTTCTCCAGGCGGAACCGCTCAAACCCAGCAAGGCTCCTGCATGTGATGACCAACGATATCCCGCTAGGTAGCACATTGCCTGGGTCAGCAAAGATGGAGGGTCTGGGTAGATGCCCTAGGAGGGAACAGAGTAGGACTCTGTGTACAGGATGGGGACATTTTTCTCCTTTCGTGTAAGGGGTGGGAAGGAAATAACACAAGACTCACAGCCCCCACCACTTCTGTGCTCCACTTCCCATTTTCAACACAACACTACTTTGCTGGTGTTTCATGAGATCAGTGGTGATATTTTGGAAGCCCAGAGTCATACTGTGTGATCCTCTCTATGCTAAAGACATGGATCCTTGCTGGGGGAGACATTCAGGAACTCATAAACATCTTTGCTCTCTGCCAGCTATGCAAACGCATGTGATGGTTGGAACTTCGGTGACATTGAACATTAAAAGATGAGTTTAATGTGAGTGGCCAAGAACAAAGACTGGGAGGAAAGAGGAAAACTACATCTCTGGGTACCTGTTGGTGCTGTTGTAGGATTACTGTTGAAGCTTTGGCTTTTGGTGGAAGGTGACTGGCGCGGAAAGTGGATGAAGGAGAGAACACTTACAGTCAAGTTAGCTAGATTCTGGTTTTTAATAAATGATGGTGACCATCAGAGTGAATTAAAGAAGACACTTTGTTATCAGACACAGCACCAAAGACCAGGATGAAAAATCAGATATGTGTAGATGAGAAACCTGCAAAGTTAAGGGTATGTTGGATGAGGAGACTAACGTGTGGTAGTCATATGGCTTAAAGTGGGTTGCAATCCTCCCGCAATCTACACAACTCCCATCTAGGGTAGTCACTGATGGGGAGGAGTTAGAATCCCATAGATAAGACTCACCGTCCTGCATGTCAGTTGTCTGGCCCAGGGAGAACACTGAAAGAGAAATCCCAAGGATAAAGGTTCCTTCAGCTGGGGCCACGGGCCAGGGAATAAGGGTGACGTGGGACCTCTAAACTTTCTAATCAATGTTGCCTCTCAATGAGTCAGTCTCCTCCTCTGTGGTAGAGTCCTGAAAAGGCCCAGGGGACCTGGCAGCCAACCCCACTAAACCCACTTTGCCCCCGATTTTTTATGACACACTGGTGATTTCAGGTGTTCTCATGGTTGACTCAAGACATCAGGCTGGTGTGCACCTGTGGGGCTGAATGCCCATCAGATATTTGTCACACCTGTGCTAGAGAGGGAATGGGATCTTAGACCTGTGTCTCCCACCCTCCCTGTTTCTCTGATCTATCTTCATTCATGTACTCACTGAAGACCACGATGGAGATGAGATGCAATGCGAACATGGTCCAGTGTCTCAGCCTGCTCTGTGTCTGCCCTTTGGTAGGAGAACAGACTCTTCAGCGAGGCAGAGTGAGCTTACAGGGCTGTATATTACAGGAAGGGAGGTGCTGGGATTCAGACCACATTTGAACTTCCCCAAGTGAGTTACAGAATTATTTGTTTCGCACATTGATGTATTGCCCAAGTAGTCGTACGCAAGGTCTATATTAAACTTATATGTTGCTGACTTTCCATAGCTGGATAGGTGCACACACAGTATATAAATGATGCATTGTTACATAAATAATCAATAGCTAATATACCAATGGATGATAAATTAAGAAAGGATTAATGATGAATGAGTGATGAGTCATTAGAGAGAGGAATAATGAACGGATAGGTGAATAATGTATGTTTGTATGTATGAATGGATGCACGTATTATGAACATGTATGTTGATGGATTGATTTGAGGGCAATTGCATGGATAGGTGGATTGAGAGGTAAATGTGTGTGGAGGTAAATGGAAGATGATTTATACATCTAGGTTTGGATGTATGGATGGATGGAAGGAAGGATATGTGGTGGGTGGATTGATTGGTGGGTGGATAGATGAATGGATGCTAGTCACAAAAGCAGGATAGACTAGGGACAAAAAATCTTCCTGGCTAAACTCTAAAAAACTCATGTTTCTCGGGTGACACATTTTTTTCTCTATCATACAAAGAGAAAACTATGCATTTTACTTATGGCTGAATATATTATCATACCTATAATATTAAGTGAAAGACGCCAGAAAAACAAGTATTGCATGCTTTTACTCACTTATGTAATCAAGAAAAGTCACAAAAAAGCATTTGTATGATTAGAGATAAATAGATGGAGAGGGAATAATGAGAGCAGTGGAGTGGATATGATAAAGTGTGTTGTATGTGTGGATGAAAGTGTCGTAACAATTCCCATTATTTGTATAATACTCTTTTATCCAACACACGTGTATATCACAGGGGTATTGCACACATTGAGAACTCATTCCTGGATTATATTCTGTTCTCTAAGTTGAGTTCCCCCTGGGTCAGCTACCAGGCCCTCCATCCTTCCTACTCCTGTAACCAAAAATAGATTGTCTAGAGATCCAAATGCACTGAGACTCTACTGGGAAGAGCTTTTTGGACTGTCCAGTTTTAAAACACCCGGATAGATCTGATGTAGTGGCGGCTTCTTACCTATGACCATGCTGGGCCTCCTGTGGTCCGTTTATGGCACAGAACAAGAGCTCAGGGTGACCTTGTAGCCTCACCACCAACTACTCTGAGTCTCCTATAAATTCCTCCTTTTTGTTTTCTGAGAAACCTCCACTGCTTTCTTCCCATGGTCCTCCTGTCCAAGATGCCTGAGGTCTCACAGTTGTCACTAAGATATGAGGTTTTCTTCCACTGCATGTCTAGGGTATTGCAGTGGGTCTCTGTTCAATGGTCCACGGTCCCTTCTTTCTTATTTTCCCCAAACCTGGAGACGCTTTTCAGTGGGTGAAGCTTCACTTTGTTCCACAGGTACAGGGGTCTGTGAGCATCTGCTCCTGCCTAGGTAGGCAGATGTTGTCTCTCATGCAAGGAGCCCAGTGGTGCTCCCTGGAGATCCTCCCCTACATGCCTGTGGGGAACTCGGTAGTGGGGTTTCATCTGGGTGCTACTCTCCCTGCCTACTCCAACCCCACCAAGATACACTAGCCTAGTACAACCTGCAAAGGGCACTCCAATGAGAGTACCGGGAATATCCTCTCTCGGCTTGGGAGCTGCCTCTATCTTGGTCCACAGGCCAAGTGACTGGAGATTGGAGGAGAAAAGGTGAAAACAAAGTTTGTTTCGCTTGTATGACTCATCCTTGCTTCCTACTCATTCCCTCCTTGCCTCCCTCCCTTTTTCTCTCTTTCTCTCCCTCCCTTCCTTCATACCTCCATCCCTCCCCCTTCCATCCTGTTCTCCTCTCAAAAAAGGAAACTTTTCTCCTTGCATGTAATTTCTGTCTTACCTTCCCCAGCAGCCTTGCTGCTTGCACCGGCTGAATGAGACACGGTTCTCTTCATCATTTGGGCTCTGGCAGGAGCTGGGAGCTGCCTGTGTCCTCTCTATCCATGCTGCTGTCTCTGATAAGAGTGACTGTGATACCTGGGCATCTCTGCCCACGTGACTTCAGGAGAACCCACAGGGATCACGTTGAAAACTAATAACAGATAGACAAAGACATGGAGCGG